TTACTTATCTAGTAGGGCTATTACTTACACTTATATATCTAGTAGAGTCTTAGCTTATATTTATATTTCTGTAATTAAGTAATCTAGGGTAATTATCTAAATTCTTCCTTAAATAGATAAATCTAGTATCCTAATTAGCTAGTTAGTAGGTATAATTATAAACTATATTAAGATAGGCCTAGGATGTATAAACTAAAATATTTTACTAGTATTTAATTTAATTTTAGCAGTTATATCTAGGCTAGATAGTAGTTCTAGATTAGTAGGGCCCTTTAGGTAAGGAGCTATAACTATACTATCTTTATAATCATCTTCTCTATAGGTATCCTTAAATATTATATCCCTTATATAGATAATTTAATTTATTTCTAGTAGCTAGCCTAGGTAGATATAACTATTATCTCCCTTATATCTAACTAATTATACTTTGTATGCATAAGGAGTAGTTTTATAGGCTTAAATATAATCCTCTTTATAGATATAGATATATATTAGAATACTAAATAGTTATAGATAATTAAGTAGGGGAAATGGATTACTAATTCCCAGGCCTTTATACTATTTAGTAATTAGGGTATTATTAGGAATTAGGTAATTATTAATATAAATAGCTATCTTTATTATATATAGCTATAGTTATTTATATAAGCTAGAATTAATTAACATAGCCCTAGTAGTACTATTAGTATAGCCTCTATAGATCTCCATAATACTATTTATCTCTAGGGACCCTAGAGGTATTATAATAATAATAATTCCTTTATTTTTAGCCTGTATATAGAACTTATTAAATTTAGTTCTACTATCTATATACTAAAAATAGGATATATCTTCTAGTTAATAGCTTTTACTCTTTATTCTATCTAATTAAATAATTAGATAGCTTACTTTCTTTACTCTTATACTATTTAATTTACTAGAATCTAGAATAATTATTAATACTAATAAGATAATAGTAATATCTATGGATTCCCTACAGCTTAATAGGCTATAGATTAATATACTAGAGAATACTAGGAGCTTTTACTTAGTCTATATACTTATAGGATATCTATTTCTTTACCTTAGCTAGGTGGCATGCTTTATAATAAAATTAGTCTAATCTAATAACCTTATTACTATTAAGATTGCCTATTATTATATTCTAAGATATTTATATAGGAGTTATAATAGTATCTAAGCTTTGCAAGCTAATTATTTAATATAAGTATTATTATTACCTATAAATAGTATTTATATAGAATATATAGCTTATTAATAGCATCTCCTATACAGCATTAAAGAATTAAACTTCCTTCTCCTACTATATATAATATAGTTCCCTTAGTAGTTTTAGACTAATATCCCTTCTTATTAGGTCTATATAGATAATAGTTTATTACATCTATCCTATTTATATAAATTATGTATATAGTTCCAGAATCTAGGATATAATAATAGTCTAATTTAATATAATTTAGTTTAGTATAATTAAAGGAATTAGTTTATTAAATAGCCATACCTGTAAAATTAATAACTATATTAGTATATTCTATAGAAATTTAGGCCACTAGATAAGTAGTATTTATCTAATTTAATTATCCTATAGGAGAAGATCTTCTTAGTAGTTTCTAACACTATATATCTTAGAGTAGTTTTGATATTAGGGGCCTATCTTCTATAAAATAATAGTATATAGCTGGTCCATAGCAAGAGAGATAGTAGAACCTATAGTTACTATTCTTATTATATATATTACTTTATCTCTATTTATTTATATATTCTATATAATTCTTACCTAGATGAGGGGCTATCTTGCACAATACCCTCTAGGTTATATAATTTAATTAATTCTATATATTTATCTATGTATTCTAATTAGTTAAGCTAGAATTAGGTTTAGCTTTAGTACTAAATATAGCCTTATAGATAATTATTCCCTTTATTTATTACTAGCATGTAATACTTATAGAAATTAGTTTTTATTAGGCTCTTAGAGGAGTCTTTTAAAATTTAGATTTAATAATATTATACTAGGATAGCTTTTTTAATAGCTCTTCTAGTATAAAAAGGATAGCTATATAAGGTGTAATTAGTATCTTAAGGTGTTTATATGCATCTACCTTATCTCTAAAGGTGCTTATATACTGGGTAATTATTATAAAGTCTAATCTCCTTATATAAATTATCTTCTTAAAATTTAAATATAATTCTAAATGGCTGTGGCCTAATATAATATTCTTAATTACTTCCTATATATTATCTATGTATATAATTAGATCTATTATTATATATAATATATTAGTAATATCTTTACCTACTTAGCCTATTAGCTAGTTATATACTAGCTTTAAGGCCTTGCTCTATATTTAATAGTTTAGGTATATTACTTCTAGCCTAGATATTAACTTATTAATTAAATCTTTTAGCTTATAAAGTTCTAATTCTAATTTAGCATAAAGATCTATAATTTATAGTCTTTTATATTTTTAATTTATTTAATCTAGATATACTTACTAGTAAGGAATCTTTATCTAGCTTTATAGCCTGTGTGAGATCTGCTATTTCTATAGTATAATTCTAACTCTAATTTATATCTTTTTATAATTCTTTAAAGGTTCTAGGTAGTAAGTAAGAGTTTAATTTAACTTTATTATTAGATATGTAAAAGTTCATAGAAATATATAAAATAGTATTAAATTACTAAGAAAAGTAGAGAATTAATAAAATTAATAAACAACAGACTAAAATAAATATAAAAATAAAAGCAGAGGGCTTATAACCTTATAAAGGAAATAGACTATAAGCCTACTAGAATTTATAACTCTCTAGGAATAAAAGAGATGCTTAAGATCCTTCTAAGTAAGGTAGATAGCTCTCAGAATAACATTGGGCTGTCTGCCTAGCAGCAGGATCTCTAAGAGCTTACTATAATTATAAAGATTAAGTTTCTAGTGAACCTTATAAATCTTAATATTAGTCTTATAGGCTAGATATAGAAGAACTATATTTTATACTACTTAGCTATTATCTAGCTATTATAAGAAAGGAAAATATAGCTACTAAGTTAAGGCCCTACTAAGGGTAAAGCTTATTATTTTTATTTAGAGAGAATATCTTTAGATAATATTATAGATAAGGAAAAGGAGTCCTTTAATATTATAGGATTATCTTAAAAGTCCTAGAATACTAGTATATAAGAATATAGAATAGCTGCTATATATTAATATCGATTTATTAAAATATTATGACTATAAAGCTATAATATTCTATATATAGTAGGATAATCTAGCTTCTTTTATAGAATAGGATTATTTAAAAGGGCCCTTACCTAATATAGTTATACTAATTATATTTTTAAGTTATACTTTAACTAAGGTAGAGATAAATTACTAGCTAACTAAGCTAGAAGTATTAGGTCTTATCTAGGTGCTATATAAGACTAGATATATAATATATACTTATAAAATAGGTATTTATATCTATATTAATTATACTATAATAGTTAATATTATAAAATAGACTAGCCTTTCTACCTTATTAACTAATAAATTAAATCTTTATCTTATTTAAGCCTTCTAGTATATCTAGCTATTTCCTAAGGTTATCTTATTTTATAAGCCTAGAAAGAAGTATATTATATTTAATATACTATCTTGACTACCTTCCTTTATAAAGGATGACTCTAATCTAACTATATTAGATATAGATCTACTTAATATCCCCTTTAGCTATATATTCTATACTAATAGACTAGAGTAAGGATAAACTATAATAATAGGAGTTACTTTATTAGATGATTTTAAAGGCTAGATAATTAAGGGATACCTAGTAGAATAGATAGTTAAGGGTTATATAAATAATTTATATAACCTCTAAATCCTAAGTACTAGTTACTTTATTATATAAAATACTTAATTACTTACTATATTATGATATCAATCAACATGTGTGATTTTAATTAAGTCTACAAGAGTGCGCAGAGGATATTAGGAGATGTCACCAGTATATATATAACTATATAGACCCTTATGTTCCTTTATAGCTTAGGTAGAATTATAAAGGGGGCCAGAATCCCTTAATATTAGTAGGATATATATAGGGTAGCCTTTAGCCTACCCCCTACCCTTACATGATTTAAAGGCTCTACACCCCCTATGATAAATAATTATCCTATCTAGTAGCATATCTAGATCAGGTAATTATATAATACTTAATTCCTAAGAAGGTTTAAAATCCCTATAAAGGATTTAATCTAAACCCTAGCAGCACTAAAAGACTATAGTCTTAGGACTTTAAGAATACTGCTAATAGGTTAATTTTAATAAATACCTTATATTAACTATTCTTAACTTAGTAAAAAATACCTTAGATTAACTACTTTAACCTCCTTAGACTAATCTAGATACCTATAATAATAATAATCTACCTAGGATATCTAGTTAGCTCTTCCCTATAGCTATATTATAGAGTAGATATTATTAACTATCTAAGCCTTCTAAAAAGTAACTAATAATAGGATTAAGTTATCTAATTATAAAGAATAAGATAAATAGGGATAATTAAAATTATTTTAATAGATTTAAACTATTATTAATAAGCTTAATTTAGATTTCTATTCTTAACTTAATTATTATTCTTCTCTTACTAAAATAAATAATATTAAATCTATATCTTCTAGTATAGAGACTCCTTAAACCCAGTCTACTTATAATAGTAATAGCTTTAAGACTAACTAAGTGTCATGGGCTAGAATATCTCAGTCTGAGGCTCTACTCTAGCCGTCCCATTAGGCCATAAAGGAATGAAGTGGAATTGCTAGAGAAGGAAGGAAACTAGGTACAGGTGGCTATTGTACTAATTAATGTAATAACCAGTCCTAATCACGTGATTGATCAGGTGGTGGTGTCCAGGCTGGACGCCAGTTGCTAGTCAGGTGATCACACAGCCGCGTATACAAGGCGGTGTGTGTCATGGGGGCAGCCCATGACAATATCCCCCTCCTTTAAGGCCACCTCTGGGGGCTGTTAACTAAAGAGGGCATCTATAGCAGAACTTTGGGCTGTTGTCTTAGTATGGGGCTTAGCAGGGGCAGGTGCAGGTGAACTAGGCTAGGATGTAGTAGGTGAGCTAGAGCAACATGAGTGCTGATTGCATTCCTTAATCTAATGGTCATCAGAACCACAGTACAGGCAGAGGTCATGTTCTAGTTGGTAAGAATGGTGTTTCATAGCAGATGATTGAGTAGAAGAAGTAGATAGTATATGCAGGATAGGTTTAATAACATGTGCATGAGAGATCTGAACAGGGTCTATATCCATTAGGTCAGGGTGGTGAGTCTGGGTAGGTGCTGGTTTTATAGTAGGGTTCTTAATAGGCTAGGCACGATGGGTGTATTAATTAATAAGCTAGACAAGCTCTACATATTCATTATATAAGAGGCTAAAGAGGGTGTCGTTCGTATCTTTAAGGGTCTGGTGAAGAGAGGGGTGAAGCCCTCTATGTAAGGTGGATAAGTATAAACTATCTAGCTATATAGTTGCTCTGGCCTCATATATAAGATGCTTAAAGTGGGCAAGAAAGGTAATAAGGGACTCATCTTCCTATTACTATATAGTAGTGAAGCGCTGCATGGCTTCCTAGTGTTCTCTAGGGTTATAGCAAAGGCGCTGAAAAAATGAGAAGATGACTTCTGCATCTCATAGTTGGGTCTCTTCTGCAGATTAGCGTAGGTGAAGGACTGAAGCCTATTATAGTTGCTCTAATTAATCCTATATATAGTTAAAAGCATCAGCTCCAGTGAGCTTATCTAATTAGAGTTTTACTTGGATTGATGGGAGCCAGGTATGCAGGGTATATGGTTTGCTATTAAAATGGGGTAGATCTGGCAGGTGGGATCTTAATATAGATAAGAGCCAGGTCTGGAGTAGCTGGATGTTAGCTTAGGAGGCATTTAGATCTGCATGGAGTGTCTGGATCTCAGTGTGCTGATTCTAGAGTTCTTGCTAGAGTTGTTGTATAAGTAGGAGGAGGGTAGATTGGTTAGACATCTTATTAAGTCTCTTAGGGGGCAGGCTGGTCAGGTCAGGGGTAGTAAAAACTCTCTCTGAGAATCTGTAATAGCTTTATTAGCTATTATTACTACCAGCAGGTAGGTAGCAATTCCAACTATTATAGGCTAGAATATCTTAGTCTGAGGCTCTACTCTAGCCGTCCCATTAGGCCATAAAGGAATGAAGTGGAATTGCTAGAGAAGGAAGGAAACTAGGTACAGGCGGCTATTATACTAATTAATGTAATAACCAGTCCTAATCACATGATTGATCAGGTGGTGGTGTCCAGGCTGGACGCCAGTTGCTAGTCAGGTGATCACACAGCCGCGTACACAAGGTGGCGCGTGTCATGGGGGCAGCCCATGACACTAAGACTATCTTTAATAGTGGTTCACTTAGGCAGCTTATAGTATAACTAACTAAAATACTTAAAATAAACTAATTAAACTATATAAATACCTAGTTAGACTTCTTTAAGCTAAGTATAATTATCCTTAGCTAAAAGAGATTACTAAAGCTTTAACTATAGCTCTTACCCCCTACTTTCTTTCTTTCCTTTACTCTAAAGAATATAAGCTATATTAAAAGGTCTCTAACCTTAAGCCTATCCCTATATATAATAGTAAGTATAGTGTGATATCGATCAATATGTGTGATTTCGATTAAGTCTATGAGGGTGCGCAGAGGATATTGGTAGATGTCATCAGCATGTACATAACCATGTAGATTCTTATATTCCTTCATAGCTTAGGTAGAATTATAAAAGGGGCCAGAATCCCTCAATATCAGCAGGATATGTAGGGGGTGGCCTTTAGCCTACCCCCTACCCTTGCATGATTCAAAGGCTCTATGCCCCTGCAATGAATGATTATCCCATCTGGTAGCATGTCTGGATTAGGTGATTGTATGATGCTTGATTCCTAAGAAGGTTTGAAATCCCTGTGAAGGATTTGATCTGAACCCTGGCAGCACTGAAAGACTATAGTCCTAGGACCTTAAGGACACTACTAATAGGTTAATTTTAATAAATGCCTTATATTAATTGTCCTTATTCTTAACTTAGTAGAAAATGCTTTAGATTGACTGCTTTAACCTCCTTAGGCTAATCTAGATACCTATGATGGTAATGATTTGCCTGGGATATCTAGTTAGCTCTTCCCCACAGCTATATTATAGAGTAGATGTTATTAACTATCTAAGCCTTCTAAAAAGTAACTGATAACAGGATTGAGTTGTCTAATTATGAAGGATAAGATAAATAGGGATAATTAAAATTATTTTAATAGATTTAAAATACTATTAATAAGCTTAATTTAGATTTCTATTCCTAACTTAATTATTATTCTTCTCTTATTAAAATAGATAATATTAAATTTATATCTTCTGGTATGGAGACTCCTTAAACCTAGTCTACCTATAATAGTAATAGCTTTAAGACTGACTAGGACTATCTTTAATAGTGGTTTATTTAGGCAGCTCATGGCGTGACTAACTAGAATACTTAAAATAAACTAATTAAACTATATAAATACCTAGTTAGACTTCTCTAGGCTAAGCATAATCATCCTTAGCTAAACAGGGTTACTAGAGTTTTAACTATAGCTCCTAACCCCCACTTTCTTTCTTCTCTTTGCTCTGAAGAATGCAAGCTATATTAAAAGATCTCTAACCTTAAGCCTATCCCTATATATAATAGTAAGTATAGTAAGGATGCTGTAGTAAAGTAGTTTAAGCAGGTTAATAATTACTTTTATAATAAATAAACTCTTACTTAAAAGGATGCTACTAATCTTAAAAAGGTTATAGTAGTTAAGTATTACCTTATTAGCTAAGCTAAGGAGTGATAGGATGCTTATAAGTAAAAAGTTAAATATAATCTAATAGCTGCTATTATTACTCTAGATAATTTCAAGCAGTGGATTTAAGAAAACTTTAGAGAGATTAGAGGAGAAATTAAGTATTAGGAAGAGTATAAGAGGTGTACTTAGAGTAATTAGATAGTATAATCTTATACTACTTCCCTAGTGGAAGCTACTAAATATATTAAGTCTGGAATTCCTAATAATATATTAGTCTAGAAGTTTATTACTAACTTAAAACTAATTCTACATGCTTACTGGGTAGAAGATTACAGTAAACTAACTACTTTTAATAATATAATTTATTACTTTACTAAGTATAAGTAGAGAGTTACTTTATATACTTAGGTATAGTTCTAATCCTTTAGCAAGACTAATAATTATTAAATAGACCTAATAGATATTAATTTAAATGCTATCCTTATATCTCCTAATTATCTAAAGAAGGGAACACACAAATAGAAGACTTAGTATTAAATAAACTAAGCTTACTTTAATTATAGATAAAAAGGCTATAATGTGCAAGCTTATACAGTACTAAATTAATTAAAGACCTATTATAAGAAATAATTAGGAAAAGCAAATGACTGCTAGATAAGGAAGCACTAGTTAGTTAACTACTAAAGGCTTCTAAAGTTAAGGAGTATAAGGTATCTAATAACCTTAAACTACCTAAATATCATGATAATTTAAATAGGAATAATAATAAGGAGGATTAAGCACCCATTAAGGAAATACTTAATACTATATAGGTAGATTTAGAACTAGAAGATTATAATTATATTAATACCTATCTGAATACTCTTAGATCTAATCTTATCTACTTCCCTACTAAGCTTGAAGCTTCTAGGATAGTAGCCTATATCTAAGCACTGCTAGACTACAGCTCTAGCTATATATTTATATTAAAATACCTAGCTAATTTACTACCCTTATTATAGTTCTACTTTTAGCATATGCTTAACCCTTTACAAGTTTACTTACTAAATAATAAAGTTATATATATATTATATTAAGTTTAGATCCCTCTTAGACTTAGTAGTTAGCCTTATATTATTACTCCTTAGGTTCTCAAAATGACAGAGTATGATGTTATTCTAGGTTAAGATTAGCTAAAATATATTAATCCTAATATTAATTAGATTATGGGTTGAATGATAATTAAGGGGTAAGGAATAAAGTATATAACTATTAACCCTATTAATCTTTAATACTAAATTAAATTAGGCCTAGAAGTGCTTATAAGTCTTATCTCTATAAAATAACTTCAGTGTACCCTTTAAAAAGATTAATAAGAAGCCTGATTATTCATTATTTAAGAGCTTAAAAAGGAAAAGGAAGAGGAAGTATTAGTAGAACTATCCTAGTTAAGGCCTCTTCTTACCTAGTATAAAGATGTGTTTAGGGAGGAGTTATACCCAGGAATATCTCTAGCTTAGTTAATATAGTATTATATTAATACTAGAGATTCCCTGCTAATAAATATAAACTCTTACCCTTAGTCACCTAAAAAGTTTTATAAGATAAAAAAGTAAGTTAAGGAGCTATTAAAGAAAGCTATTATTTACTCTTTAGCTAGTATATAAGGCTTTCTAGTGGTAATTATCCCTAAAGCTAATAGAAAATAGTAAATATATATTAATTACTACTTACTTAATAAGGTAACTGTTAAGAATACCTATCTACTACTATAAATTTAAGAACTTCTAGATTAAGTAGGTTAAGCTAAGTGTCTTTTAAAGCTTAATCTCCTCTCTAGATACTAGTAGCTATAAATAAGTGAATTATTAATTCTAAAGATAGCTTTTAATATATTATTTAGTAAGTTTGAATTCTTAGCAATGCCTTTTAGACTTTATAATACACCTATAATATTCTAAATAATAATAAATAGCATTATATAAGATCTTAATTTTATAGTAGTATACCTTAATAATATCTTAATCTTCTTGGACTTAGATAAGGAATATAAGAAGTATATTTAATAGGTGCTTAACTAACTCTAAGAATATTAACTATATATAAAGCTCTCTAAGTATATATTTACTAAGAGAGAGCTAGAGTTTTATAGTTATATTATTAGTAATAGATTTATTTAACTAATGCCTATAAAGGTAGAAGTTATAAAGATATAACTAAAACTAATAAATATTTATAAAGTTTAATAGTTCTTAGGACTAGTAATATACTATTACTAATTTATATATAAGTTTATAAGAATTACTACCCCTCTTTATAAACTCCTAAAGGAATTAGATGCTTTGCTTTATAAAAAGAAGTTTTAACCTATAGTCTAGAATGCTTAATATTAGTAAGTATTTATAATACTAAAGAATATAATAGTTTATATACCTATTCTTAGGATTG